GATTTCAGCATCAAAGCTTACATCCATTTAAATGCAGATCATTCCAGAGCTAAGAAAATAAGGATGTGTGATTGAAAAGTTAAATAAAAGTGAGAAATAGAGCTAGTGTCTGTATTGATGGAAACTAAACTATTTTAATTGAGTAGGAATTAAACAGCAAATTTCAAGACTTTTAAAAATGAATTCCTATTATCCATTATCTAGTAAAATGTGTTATTACAAGAGCTGGGATGGAGTTAAACTTCACTTAGAACTCCTCAGCCTTCTTCCGTTGGAAAGATAATAATATACTGTCAATTTATCTGCTTAGGATCAAAGAAACTAGAGAGCAACTATTCTTTCCTTATAAAATATGTCTTTCCTTATAAAATATCTTACCATAATTGGTACTGCACATACACATTACTCTTCGAAGGAATGCCATTGGATTAAGAAAATAGATATGGGACTGAGTAAACAATGCTATCTCTCTTTATCTTTAAGATTTGGAAATGATCTTCAGATTTCAGAGAAGTTATTTGTGTTGGATGCCGGAGCATCTGGATCTAAAGATATGAAGCTTCTCCGAAATCAGTTACAAGAAATAAGAAGCCAAATAATTTCTGTAAGTAATATCAATGGTCTGGTTTGTGCCAGCCAAAATGTGAAAACCTAGGACAGGAATTTTTTTTTCTGTAAACTTATTACTTAATTTCAGGAATTAGAAATGAAACAACAAATTATTGACATGAAGGATTCTGTCAGCAGTTCCAAAATTGTTGACATATTGTACAGATACCAAAAATAGCCTTTCTGTGAAAGAAATTATTGGGATTCTCAGTTTAAAGCTATATTTTCATATTTTGAGTTGACAGAGATTGGACTCCAGTGCTTGTGCCATTTGTTTGTTTTATACTATGTGACACAGTAGTATGACAAAGAAATTGAATGTATTTGATGCAGATGTTTTTCAAAAAGACCAGAGTTGAACACTTTACATACTGGTGTGCAAACTTATAATATAGATAATATATAGATTCTTTTATTGAAAAATTATGTACTTAGATTTCTCATAGTTGTGTATGAAACTAAGGGTAAAATTGCCCCTAACTGTATGTAATTACCATGGATCTACACAAACTTCAGTACTAAGGGTGACCAATTTTGAAGTCTGTCATTTAAATTCTTCATATTAAAGTCCTTCTTAACTGTATGACATGCCAACACAAGGTTCTGTGGCTGCTTCTGTTAGGTGTAAAAGAAACAATGAAATAAAAGGTAAGTGTTGCTGAGTTCACTCTCAGATTCAAGGAAGAAGGTTTTTTTAATGTTAAAAAATGTAGCCTATTTAATGTTCTCAACGGTGTCTTGATTTTAATGTTTTTCTTTGACAGAACTTTTTTTTTTGTAGCAGTTTCCATTAGATGAAATTTGAGAGGTCCTTATTGCATAGAGATTGATTGGGTGCTGTGGCTGGAGACTGCAAGACATAGTCATCAGTAATGTCCAAAACAGTCAATAGATAAATATGCTATCTGTATGTATTATCTTATATTCTGCAGTGTCACCTGTTGAAATGTCCAGAACAGACAGTGGTGAGTACAGACTTCAGTTAAATGCACAGCTGTTTCTTGAATATATTTCATTAAGAAAAAGTAGATCTTCTCCTAAGTTCATAACAGGTGGTCGAGTAACAGTCCATCACAAGGGGACCCTTTAGACGTATATATATATCATGTACGTACTAGACCTCAATGTTAGCAGAGTACAGTTACAAGATGTTTTCTGTGCTTTTTGTAAGACTTGCCCACCTATGACTCTTCTGTGTGAAAAAATTATCTCTGTGCTGCCTTCATGGAGAAAAATGAATGGACCCAACCAGCTGATGTCCTTGCAGCAGTTTGTGTATGATGTACAGGAGCAGCTTAATCCCCTAGCAAATGAAGATGACCTGCGGCACATTGCACAGCAGTTGCATAGCATAGGAGAAGTGAGTGCTTTTTATCTAAACTATGTATTCTTACTATCAAGGTACTTCTCTGATCGAAAATTGCTTAATAGGATGTAAGTAAATGTCTGTAGTTATTTCCTTCTACTTGTCCTTTCAAGACATCATAAGTAATAGACTGATTAATAATGCTTCTTGTTATCATTATTGTTTTGGTGTACGTGTTCTATTCAACATTATTTCTATGAGACAGAAAGAGCTGCAGTTCATTGCTATAATTGTAACATCATAAAATACATAGGATATGCTATTGTTAGCATCTTGAAATTAGGTAGTGAAATGAGATAAGAAATTTGTCTGTCTCTTAGAAATTGAATTGTAGGAAAACACCTTTGCATAAATAGCTTGCAGAGCATTGCCTAGGCTGTAATGCTGTTGGGTTCTGATGGCTTTATTATTAATGGAAGCCAAGAGTGAGTTCTTACTTCTGAATATTTGCAAGAAACTAAAATGCAGTTCAACTCTGTCAGCTGTGTTATTTAAGTGATTTGGTCAATAGGTTAGGAAAGACAGAATGTGGAGTACCGTCTTGTTCTCCATAAAATACCGATAATGGCTTTCCTATTTATAAACAGATTAACATTATGCAGAGTGAAACAGTTCAAGACGTTGTTCTTCTGGATCCTCGCTGGCTCTGTTCAAATGTCCTAGGAAAAATCCTATCGATAGAGAACCCAAAAGCTCTCCATCACTATAGAGGTCGATACACTATAGAGGACATACAGCGTCTGGTAACAGATAGTGATGTGGAAGAACTGATACAGATTTTGGATGCTATGGATATTTGTGCAAGAGACCTTAGCAGTGGAGCAATGGTGGATATTCCTGCTCTCATCAAGACTGACAATCTCCACAGGTCTTGGACAGAGGAAGAGGATGAGGTACTGATTTATGGCGGTGTTAGAATTGTTCCTGTGGAACATCTTACCCCATTTCCTTGTGGAATTTTTCATAAAGTTCAGGTGAATCTCTGCAGGTGGATTCATCAACAAAGCACCGAGGGAGATGCTGATATACGTCTGTGGGTAAATGGATCAAAGATCATGAATCGCGGCGCTGAGCTTTTAGTGCTGCTTGTCAACCATGGTCAGGGCATAGAGGTTCAAGTTAGAGGACTGGAAACAGAGAAGATCAAGTGCTGTTTACTTTTGGATTCTGTATGCAGCACCATTGATAACTTAATAGCCACAACCTTACCAGGCCTTTTGACTGTAAAATACTACCTTAGTCCTCAGCAGCTGAGAGAACATCATGAACCAGTAATGGTCTATCAGCCTAGAGACTTCTTCCGTGCACAGAGTCAAAAGGAGACATCACTAACTAACACCATGGGGGGATATAAGGAGAGCTTTAGTAGTATACTGTGTTTTGGGTGTCTTGATGTCTACTCCCAAGGAAGCCTAGGAATGGATATTCATGTTTCAGATCTGAATCTACTCACCAGGAGAAAACTGAGCCGACTTCTGGATCCACCTGATCCCATGGGCAAAGATTGGTGCCTTTTGGCCATGAACCTGGGCCTCCCTGATCTGGTTGCAAAGTACAATACAAATAATGGAACACAAAATGACTTTCTGTCAAGCCCAGTCCATGCCCTGCTGCAGGAGTGGAGTAATGCTCCAGAGAGCACTGTAGGAATCCTAATGTCTAAGCTGAGGGAATTAGGTCGCAGAGATGCAGCAGACTTTTTACTCAAGGCATCTTCTGTATTCAAAATAAATTTTGATGCTAATGGTCAAGAGGCTTATGCTTCAAGTTGCAACAGTGGCACCTCTTATAATTCAATTAGCTCTGTAGTATCACGGTAAGAAACAGGTGTTTTGCATAGATATGTTTTCAAATTGCAGAAAAGATAAAAGTGCGAGAGTTTCTGTACCTTCTCAATTATGAGGTTTTACGTCAGAGGATTTTTATCCTTCTTCAGCACCACCTTTTTGTGCTTAAGCTTTCTACTTCTGGCTGAACTGTTGCTTTTTATTTGATCTCTTAAAGGCTGGTGTACTTCTGATGTGTTAAAAGTTATTACAGATACATAATGTGCTGCTTAATACTGATGTTTTAATTGGAAAGTCTTTCAACTGTGGATGTATCACAACTGTTTTATGAAGTAATTCTTCCTGTAAAAGGAAAGGGGAGAAGAATAGCACATAGTACATGAAATGTGTATTTCTTATGTCCATTTTTTTCTTTAAAATGCTGTCCTCTGTTAAACACTTTTTTATATTTTTTAAGGAGGGAAATCCACCTACATTGGTGATTAGTCTGCCTGAATATAACACCACATTGTTTTTAGCTGAAAAAGCGAGTGCCTTTTGCAGAAGAGGGGGGTTTCATTGGTTTGAATGACCCTGCTGGAGTTACAAGAACATGCTACCTCTGTTTCACTGAAATTGTCTGCATGCTTAGTGCTTGCCTTTGTCTGCAAGTGGTGCTTGCCTTTTAATTTTTCCCTTATTTCTAAGACATTGGTAATGACTCATGCAGAGCGTTCATGTGCCAATACTGTGGGTACAGATATGTGATACCTGTCAACTTCGATTACAGTCAAATCATAATGTGAAAACCTCTTAACCTTGCCAATTACCATGCTTCTTTATTACCATTTACCTCAGGTAAAAGTTTGTTCATTATGGAGTTCAAAAAGGATATACATGTGTTAGATACCGCAGAATAATACTGTATGGCTGTCAATTGTAATTTGTGTATACCAAATTGTTTTCTACTATTAGATCCTAAGTTACTTCTTGTACTTGAAAATTTTAACGGGGATAAAAACAAAAGGACACAAGATTTCTTGCAGTGAGAACTTTAAAATTGATATGAGGGGATAAAGCGCATTCTGTTCTAAAAAGCATGTAATTTTAATGGTGCAATGTGTTTGTGTATATATATATATTGTATGTATATATATTAATACTATTTTTTCCTTAATCTTACCATGTAGTAAAATTTTAAAGCATTTTTCTACAAATAAAATGTTGCTTGTTGCATCACTTTTATCTGTATCCTGTACCTTAAGTGGACCAAGCCTCCTCTTTTCCTTATAACCACAGTCCTGCAGAGGCAGTGCCTGACTTCTGATGTTCCGACCACCTCCTGTGTTGTCATACCAGGGAGCTCTCTCAGTATGCTGTGGAAGTACTTATATTTTATTAGGTGACTCCTCTGCTGTGGAGTAGGTGTGCGTTCATTTTGACATCCCTATGTATGCTGCAGAACAGCACTAGGTCTTAAAAAAGCTAATTGCTGTTTCCCACTGCTTTCTATATGTATTTTGTCATGTCTTTATTACACCCTTCACCTGATACCACTGAGCTCCTTTGTTGAATGTTTTTCCAAAATGCCTAGTCTGCACTAAGAACCGTACCTAATGAGCAGTCCAACCGTCAGGTACCTCTGCTCTGGTGTTTTGCTACCATTGACAAGAGCTGAAGTTCTCCCTCCCCTGTCTGCTGTGAGTTGCTCACTGAAGAGTCGTGGATATGTGGATATGTGGGTCTTGCTTGTTTTGTAATTCTTCCTGTGTAGCTCATTTCTTTATCCTCAGCCTAATATCTGAAGGTGAGTCCAGCCTCTGAGTTAGCTTTGCTGAGACTATATGGCTGCAGAGGGCTGGGGCCAGCTAAAGAAACTGTGTGAGAGTGCAGGCTGCTGTAAGATGCTTTTGGTGTGCAGGTCTGCCAGCAGTGCCTGCTGTTTTAAGTCTTCATTCACCATTGTACAGTGGTGAAGTGGTGGAGAGAAAAGACAGGTAGCTCTTCATGTGCCTACCTCCCCAAATGCTTTAAGGACATTGCAGATCTATGTTTGATTTACAAATTTGGGAGTATTATGTTTTTTGTTTTTTATTTATTTTGTTCTGGTTTTCTACCCTTCTCAATTCTCTGCTTCCATTTACTGTAAAATGCAGTCCTGGGAGTAGTGGATGCTATAATAGTTCTCTGAGTAGTGGAAAATGCTTACTGCATGCATCGTTTCCAGCTTTTATGGTAATAGGTTCAGGAAAGTGAATCACTGTCATAGGGTAGCTTTGGATTGCGTCCCTGTAAGTCATGTGCCATATTACTGAGATTCCAGAAAAAATCATAGTTGTAAATTATTATTTCAACAGAAAAAGGTTAGCAAAGTGATACAAGTGGGCATTCTTAGCACTCTTCAATTTTAATGATTCCCTGTTTTGTTTTAATGCAACAAAAAGCAGAGCTTCATTCCTCAGTTTTTATGGGTGTGTTTGAAAGGCAGTAGCCCTGACTCACTCTGGAAACATGGGCAGTGGCATCTTAGAAGATTTAAAAAAAAAAAAAAAAGTTTGGCTGTAAGTTTTGTTTGTTTGTGACATAAACATACTAACCATATAAACTTAGCTGCTTATAGTGAAACAAGTAAAGTTGGATACTGATCATTAGACTTCTCTTCACAGCTGCATGATTTGATGGTATAGAGGTTAGTCCTAGTGTTCATCAGTGATATAGACAAATTCAAAGATGCAATGCAATTACTCAAGACCAAGACATGATAGATTGTTCTCTAGTTCATAAATTTGTTATTGACATCTGAACTTAAATTCTGAAAAATTGTTTTTCCAAGTATCTTTTCCCAGATACGTTGCACTATGCATGGGATAGGGGAGTACTTCATGTTGCTGTGTGTATTAGGAGCTGATTTTATATCTCATGGAAGTTTTGCTGTAGACCAGCTGGTGAGATCAGTGTCTCCATGCAAATTACTGAGGGTGGGACAAGAAGGGCATCTAGAGGTGACGGTGGGTGGAGATGGATATAAATTACTCTTTTCACCTTAAGAGAATGTAAACCAGAGACAGCCACAGGTTTCAGAAACCTTATGATTCAAATGATTGAGAAAGAGTTATGAAACTACAGGGATTTAGCAACTCTAAAGTGTAAGGGATTAAGAGGCAGGAGGCTCAGAAAGGAGCCAGAAACTTGCTTTGTAAGTGGTTGTGTCTCTCTAGAGTAGTGGTGAAACTTATCCTGCACTGGCTGCATTCTCCAACCCTAGCCAAAGTTGTGTTGGTGTATTACAGCTTTTGTATTCCAAAGAAGCTGTTTTAGAGCATTGTTTAAACAAGATTCCTTGATTTGAATCATGTCACTGTTTTAGTTTTGTAAATGAAATTGAAGAATGATGCACAAATTGTAACACCAAAGAAAGTAAATGGAGCATGCAGTGCGTTGAAACCTGTCTAGGTTTTCAGCAGACGGAGCAGTGCAGCATCTTCTTTGAAGGTGGCCTGACTGTACTAGGTACCAAATTAAAATATTTCTACTTTGCTGTAACTAGCTTGTTGAAATTCATAAATAACATTACATGGGTTCATTTCCATCTTTTCAGTCTTTCTCTGATTTGGAAGGCGAAGTAGAAGGAAAAAAAAAAGGAAGAAAAGGTTTTAGCAATGCTAAGGAACTTGTTTTCTAAAAGGGCTAAGCGGCTCAAACTTAGCTTCTGAGAGATCTCCAGCAGCCAGGGGAGATGTAGACATAAGGCTGCATGGCAACAGTTTGCCCTAATAAGCTTTACTGAAACAGCAGGCCAGTGGGAAATGCTGCCTCTAAGCTGAATGAGTGTCCATGTGCCCTGGTTTGCATTAACCAAATTAACCACTTCTGCAGTACCCAGATTGCCCTGAGATGAGGTTCAAATCCAAACTATGCCCGTTTAACAATCATTCTTGAAAATGCAGCCATGTTGCTGACTCAGCTGGGCAAACCTGGAGAACAACCACCCTGCACTGAGAACGCCCCGCCTGCTCTCTGAGTCCTGCTCTCACCATGTCAGGTCACCATGTATCAAACATGTGTTCACATCCCTATGCAGAAAGGAAGACTGAAGGCAGTCCTCTGGGGCTGGCAAAGGTGCTGAAAAAATGCCTATACACTCTGCAGCTTGCTGGCAGAGAGGTTGGAAGCCAGAGCCATGCTGTCTTCTCCAACAGAAATGGGGCACTTCTTGTAAGTGCTGGGGCACTTCTGGCAGCTCTACGTCTGGGTTCAGGAATATGTGCTTGCTCCTTTCAGCACGGGTATCACATGGCAAAGCTGAAAGGTGCCTTCCCTGTACACTGCCACAGCTGGGCCTCACCAGCCCAAGCAGCTCAGGATGTCTGTGCTGGAGAGCAGAGGTGCTCCTGCTGCATTTCAGTGATGTTTGTGTGAATGAGTAAGGGCTGACATAAGACACCAGCATGTGGTATGTGGCAGGGAGTAAGAAGTTGCACTTTTCAAAACTGTGCTAAGAAAGCATTGGAAAGAAGGGCTTCATGTCAGGGAGGTAAGCCTGCGCTGATGCAGTTAGAGCAGTGTGTGTGACTCTCTGAGTCACAGTGTGTCTCACTTTTCAGCTGCCCCTTCCATTGCAAAATCTGCTGGTTTAGCACAGCCACAAAGAATACTTTCATTGTTGTAGTCTGTTGTCCCATAAAGATAAATGAGTCTCACAGGGGCATTCCCTCAGCGGGCCAGTTTACGTGCCCGTGTGTTTGTAGCAGAGAGGATCAGATAAGTGAAGTGAGTGCAAGGAGAAAGATCCTTGCTGGGAAGTAAGGGATATCAATAAATCCTGTAATTTCTATATTTGCCTTCAAAGTCCTACAGCTATACAGCATTGGCATCTATATATCTATTTTTTAATTCTGACTTTTTATTGATTTAAATGCAAAGAATAGTTACTCTGCAAAGTGCTGAGCACTGTCAGCTACTGTTGAAGCTAAAGCTTTCATTCCTCTGAAAAACACAGGTCAACAGGTCTTGAATGTTGCGGTAAAGGCAATGTCTGTGCACGTGAAAGCTGGAGACAAACCCAGATGAGAACCAGGACAGAACAAGCTCCTTCTTTTCTAAGCCCATTGTGTGGATGATTTCATCATTGCTAAGGCACATATCTTCAGAACATGCAAGAAAGAGATTGCTTCAAGGCATTTTCATCCATTTGATAGCAAGGGCTATATTATTTCATTATTGAGTTAAACCCCCACCCTGTAGCACTAATGTGTTTTGAGTCAAACATTTCTACAGACTTCTAGGGACTATTGATAGCTGGAAAGTGTTGTAACAATTAGGAAATCGTGAAAGAGGATGAGTTCTGCAACCAAATTAGCACTATGTTAGGATGGGATTAATTTCCTTGGATGCTCATAGGCAGAAGGAAATACTGCTTGCAGCTTTTAGACCCGGCAGTCAAGTAGCAGTAAGGATTTCAGAGGAAGTTTGAGGCAGGGACATACAGCAGCAGGCTGCTTACAGAGATTCTTAAGGGAGTCATATGAACACTTAAACTCATGGATTAATGCAGTTTTAGTGCATGCTCCAAGAACTGAACAAGACCCAGAGCTTAGAAGTGCTGCTGGGAAGAGAGGGGTTTCCAGATGCAGAGTACAGCCTTCTTATCCAAGGTTGTACAATCTAGCTAAGGCAGTGGTTTCTGCCTGCTAGAGAAAACAGGAAAATGAACATAACTGGCTGCGGTTTGGATGGATGTATGAGGCAGGTGTAAGTACCAGACTTAGCCACACAAAGCCACCGTTACCACTTCATTAGCTCTCTAGGGATCAATGTTCTTTTGTTCTTAACAGGAGAGCAACTTTTCAAGAACAGTGGAAAGTCAAGGAGTGCTAGAACAAGAATCGGTTGCCCAGCCACGATTCTGCAGTATGCAGCTCAGATTATCTTGTTTCTGACTACTGTGGCTACAGAAGTTCCTGTAGCCACTAAAGAAACACATATGTGACAAAGAGAAATTGTTGTTTGTTTGTTTGTTTTTAATGCATTGAGCTGCGCTAAGGATATCCAGTTATTTAAATTGCTAATCTCATACATTTGTACAAGTATGGTGGTTTCACAGTTGTCCTACTGGACAGCTGCTTGAAGATACAGAATGGTGCTGCACAGCTGGTGCGATGTGCATCCTGCAGCATGAGGTGGTTGCAGAGGTGCTGCTGAGGCCACTAGCTGCTGGCACAGTGAGTCTGCGGGCCTCAATCCCCGGACAGACCTGGCCCACTTGCAGAACAACAGAATATCCCAAACCAGGAGAGACACCTGGCTCCACTCAGGACTATTCAAAATCCAAACCCTATGTCTGAGCGTGGTGTCCAAAGGCTCCTTGAACTCCAGA